GAGGTACCTGGACATGACGGGGTCGAAGCACAAGAGGAATGGCGCCTCCTTCGTGGACGGCAGCGGGCGGCCGGTCTCAGCGAGGGTCAGGAGGAGTTACGTGAACGTGAAAGATGAGCCGGTGCGCCAGCCGGGGCTGCCAACGACCCAGGGGCACCAGGTACATCCTGAGGACAAGAAGACTGCGAAAAGTTACGTCAATATAACCGAAGATGAGGAAGGAGGAGGAGAAAGTGAAGGAACAGGAGGAGGAGGAGACGACGAACAAGCCAAGACCAAACACCACTACCTGCCCATGACTGTCCATCCGCACAGAATGGTTATACTTCATTCCCCCATAACACCCGATAGTGACGCTGATAGCAATAAAGCAGTTGACATCCAAATAGAAGATCAAGTACAAATAAAAAAGGAGCAAAAAGAAGAGGTTGGCGAAGACGTGGATGACATCCGTAGCTCAAGAGAAAGCCTCAAAAAACTGAAGAAGAAGTAGAAGCAGCCAACAGTAGACCAGACAAGGTTAAAACGGACGTGCCTCAAGCGTCCCCAACCCCGACGGAATCCACAGACAGCCCCAAGTCCCGCCAGAGCTTCATACGTGAATCGCCTGTTATATTCCAGACGGTGGGACACTGTGAAAGCGACCTCTTCCATGCGCCTCTGGAAAACAGCTCTCCTTATTGCAATGGTGCAAACAGGACAGCATTCACCTGTCTACACGCGTGCGGGGAAGCGGGCAACAGTGTGGTGCTCATACTGCCCAGTCCCTGTTGCCACGAGCAGGGCGTCCACACCGCCCACACCGCCCACCAGTCCCCACAGAGAGCGAAAGTCTCGCCTCGCAGGAAGCAGGAGGCGTCGCCCTCCTGCCAGAAACACAGCACCCTGACGCCCCTCAGGCACCAAGGCGTCCCGAAGAACCCAAGCGAGAACCACGCGACGTTGGAGACCCATTACAAAAGAAGTGATTCGCGAGGAACCGCGTCCCCGGCCGAAGACGGAGAGGGAGAACCCGAGAACCAGGAAGAGAACCAAGAGGCAGATGACTTACTCTTCTCCTTGGTTCCCCTTGACTTGGAGGACGACGACGACGACGAAATCTCTCCAGACACACAGGACTGCCTGCCAGTACTAACCAAGAAACCGAGAAACACGGCTTTGTGACTTGTAAACAGAGGTACAAGTGCCACTTCCTTCTGGCTTGTTTAAGAGTCGGATATATTTTAACGGTTAATACATTATGATTGAGTGCGTGAATGAATCTGCGTTTGCCTAGTAAAATATAGTATTATATCAACATAGTTAATATATTCAAATGACTGTCTTCAGACTGAGAATATAATGTTTGAATAATAATCGCAATTTATGTTCTTCCTCGTTTTTTGTTATTTAGATTTTTTATTTGTTAATATGAAGTCCGTATTTTGTCTTTAATTGTATTCCCCTTCTTGTTTACTTGTTTATATATATATAATTTCTTTTCGTTTGTTTTTCATCACACTTCCATTATTGTATGCTAATTTCTTGTCTTTTCCTCCTTCTCTTCTGCCGATCGTATTCTCCGTTTTTATCATCACGTTTTTCGTTTTCTTCTGTACACTTATGTATTGTGCTATATTGATGTACATATATATTTATATGTTCCTGTTTATTTTTGTTTTCAAATTATTAACAGATTTCTTGCATTTTTTTATCATATACTGACTATTCAGTATTTTTTCCTTTGCTCCTTTGGTCGTTTTAGTGAGTTTGATTTCTGGGAGTGATATTGAATCTACAAATGTCTGTTTTTTGTTCAAAGAGCCTAACTGTTTTACATCTACACTGCTCTCTAGAAGGTTAAAGTATGCCACGTTAGTGTAGTAACATAGTAATATTTTTTATGGATATTTTTTATGGGAAAACCTAAAGCGCTATAGATGATAATAAAACGATGATGATAATAATGGTAATAATATTAACTGTAATGTCTCAGGATATTTTATAACACAATGAAGTTGAGTGTATTTTGTGTTGTTACAATGATAATGATATTGTATGTGTATATATAGATGATATATCGTGGAGCCTTTTTTATGAATTATTTTGGTGTTGACACTTTTAATAATGGTATTGTGAGACTTTTAAAAATGGCTTTTCTTATTTTCTTTTGATTTATTACTCGTGTTTTTTTTTTCTTTCACGATAGGTTTAAGAAAAAACTTGTTCTTATTTCCCTGTCTAAATCTGCTTGTTTGTATTTTATGTGTTGAAGAAAATTATCTTAAAAGTTGGTAATTTGAAGTCGAGTGTTTTAGTGTTCCCCATTTTTTTTTTTAATTACATGCATCTCATGAAATGGTTAAAAAACTACATATATATATTTTTTTTTTTTTTTTTATTAAGTTTGTCGTAAGATGTGACTGAATATATTTTTCCTCGGCTGTTGCTGGACTCCTGTGGCATCGATGAGCGTCATGATAAGAGATTCCCGTTGAGACTTCTCACAAACCAACTAATGAAGAGGACAGGCATCTTCATAGGTGAAGATGCGCTTGGCAGGGGGTGGTCATAATTATCTGAAAGACAGTAATATTACTCAAATTTAGCCAGTCGTTGTCGTATCCCCCCTTTTCTACGGTGCAACATTTCATACACTGAGCACAAAAACATACTAAATGTATATACATCGAGGAAAGTATTTTTGCATCAACGGTCGGAGCCGTGGTCAAAGGAGAGGCAGGGGTCGGGAAACCAGAGGTCAAATTTAGATTGGCTAGTTGAAGGAGCAAGCCCCTAATAAGGGTACAAAATCTTCATGATTGCCCATGGGTAATGGTTGGAACAAATAAATGTGCTAGACCTCTGAGGTCATATAGCAATATGGTGAAGTACTGTGGTGAAAAGGGTATAGGAGTTAACGTTTAGTATACAGAGTGTTAAATGTCAAAGGTCCCCCCCCATTCCCTTGCCAGCTGTTGTAAGGGGGGGGCGAGGACTGGGACGCAATGCTTGGAATCTCCCCTACCTTGGGCCTCAGCCCTCGACTCAACTAATTTTGCACGGTCTTCTTCCCCTCCTCCTTTTTCGTTTCCAACCCCATCTACTATCCACTTCCTAAGGTGTAAGAGCCATGCAGAAACGGCCTGAGGGAGCCATGGGCACGGTATTCCCGTTTTAGTTATCTAGCCTTAACCCTCAAAGGGACCCTGAGGGGCGGACCATTTCTTTTCCCAACATAGTCTAGACTTACCATGGCCAATAATAAAGACGTTATACCCTTGTTAGGGCCCCCCAATCCCTTGTCCGTTGTTGTCGTGGGGGGGCTTGGGAGACGGAGATAGACCCAATACAGGGTCTACCCTGTCTAGGGCCTCAGCCCTCAACTCAACTAATTTTGCATGGTCTTTCCCCCCTCCAGCTTTTTGTTTTCGTCCCTTCTCCAACCCCTTCTACTATCTACTTCCTATGGCGTAAGAGCCGTGCTGAAAGGATGAACGGCCTGCGGGAACTATGGGCACGGTACTCCCGACTAATCTAGCCCTTACCCCCATACAGGGCTCTGGGAGGTGGACTGTTTATTTCCCTTTAAATAATCAAGGCTTCCCATGGCCAGTAATGAAGATGTAATACCCCTACTAGGGGCAATGAGGCTTGCCCCTTCATCAAATAGCCCCACCGGCTCCCCGATCCCAGGCTCTCCTTTGACCACGACTCCGAACATTGAAACTACTACTACCCACTCCTCAATGCCTACTAGTGCATTACCCACCCAAGCAGACTCAATCTCCAGAAGACATCCCTACCCTCCCAACTTCCTCAAATTCATCAACTCTACCCCTACAACCTTCTTCATCAAACACCCCAACCTCCCTTATTACTACCTTACAGCCGTAATTCTCCATCTCTCCGTAATACTACCCCCCTCAACAACGGTCCCGCTTCCACCACCAACCCTACAAATATCTTAACTACTCTATTTAGCCCAGCTAAATGAGACCGATTTTTCATGATCCCCCCCCTCCTTACTCAGGCAGCACTCTTCTCTTTCAACAATATCTCCAAAAACATGTAGGTAGAGTCCCTTTCCGTACCCGGCGCCATCGCTCCCGTCTCGTAACAGTCAGATCTGAAGCTGAAGCCATAGTAATATCAAAACTAACTGATCTCTCTGGCAACCCCATCTCTGCAGAACTTCATCCAACTCTTAATACTTGTACCGGAACTGTCTCTCTCTCTCTCCCCAGCAAACTGCCCAGTCGATACCAAAGTGTCTCCGTCACACACACACACATGTACGTGTAATATGTATACAGGAAAAACAAGAAAACACTGAAAATGTAGTACTTTTATTGTTCTCCATTTATGAACAATTAAATAAAAGCCACACACAAAAAAATTATTTTGTAAGCTGAAGTGATTTTAAGCTTTCATTGATGTTTCACTAAAAAGATCTGGTTAAAAAATAAAAATTTGCTCCAATTGAATATCTACAACTCATAATAAAAAAAAGGATACACAATTGAACTACTGCAGTTCATTGTCAAAAACGAAGATAAAAAGGAAGAAAAAATAATTAAAAAAACAGCACTTTCCAAAACTTGCTTTTTACAATTTGTGTTTATTTTTTTAACTACAAACTTACCTGGCTTAACCTAATGACCAGCACACCACTACTTTCATAGCTACTTATAGCACATCACTGGTGTGGTATTAATCCAGTTCTCTTACAACATTAGAAAAAAAAATAGTTTTCCTTAAAAATCCATAAAAAATGTTTTCTAGTCCAGAACTTGACTGTTTTAGAACGGCATTCTTCTCACACTTGGAAAGTGCGTCCAGGAGAGTAAGTCCTCAGCCAGAGGTTATACAAGCTTTATTTTCTTTTTAAAACAATGCTTGTGGAAAGCAAAAGCAAAATTTACGTCTTGAAGTGAACATTTGAATTAAAAGAAAATAAAGAAAAAATATATATATTTCCTGTCACTAATAGTTTTCATTAGTACCTCCAAAATATATACATATATATCAAATTAAATAAACATGTAATAAAAACAAAAGCCAATTGGTTCCTGTATCAAAGGAACTTTTAGATAGGTTTCCTCAGCCTCATAAACAAATGACCTGGATGCACTTTGACCTTACTTACTAAATCTAGACCTTCCATTCGCTTGAGCACACACAAATACTGGGTAATAGAGGCTCACACATTGAAGAGAACCTTGGGAAAAAAAGATCACCAATGTTACATGAAGTCTGACACAATAACATCTCCATGGAAGAAACATTTCAGAATATATTAATGAAAATACTATAGTTCCACATTTATTACCAAGTTGTAAATGGCAAGTATTATAAATGCTAGAAGTCTATCTGGCATTACTCTTCACATATCAAAAATATAATCAACAAACACATACCTATATGCTTTATCAATTCCATCCAATAGGAATTAAGGAGATAATTAAGTTACAAGATTTTTTTTTCTTTTTCTTTCTTTTTTTTGAATGGTAAGTGTTTAATGCCAATTTGCAAGAAATGCAAATCAACAAATAATCCTTCTACAGTTCTCATGTTGAGATCTGACATGTGGCAATACTATTCAATACCATAAGTTACAATCAAGACAAGATGATCAACTTTGAAATACTGCTACTTTTTTATCCAAATAAACTTCTGTCATCACAAAATGTTTACAGTTCATCAGCCATGAACAGGTCACATTGAACAAACATTTAACTGTTATTTATTGTTATTTATCGACCAAACCCTGAACATCAAAGGTACAACCAAGTTGGTCAAGCTTCAGAATAACACAGACATGGCATTTACACACAGCCAAATCCCTACTGATAAGGCATCTTCCTCAATAAGCGGCTAAATGCCTTCTAATAAAAACAAATAATAATGAAAGAAAAAAAAAGGAATGGTTCATCAGTTTCTCTTTTTCTTTCTATTCTTCTCCTTCTTCCCTCTAACAAAACAGATACAATTCATCCATAATTGTTGTTGTTTCACATTGGTAAAAAAAAAAAAAAAAAAATCAAAGATGAATGATTGGTTTTACATTTTCTTCTTTGTTTGAACTGTTGTCAGGGTTAAAATACGAGACCCCCATTCCAAGGTACCGGAACTGGGATGTCTTAAGATATGTTATGAGCACCATAGATAATCCCAGGATATAAATTTTGGCTAGTTCCTTCCTTGCCAAAGTTCCTTGTGGTGGGGAATGGAGACAGTCAACGCAAAAATTACAGTACAGTGATGCCACCTTATGACTTCATGACCACTACGCATTTCCTATAAGTGTACAAAAGCACAGGGCTTTATATTTCCAATCCATGAATATGATGTATTTTTTTTTTCTTCTCCAGTCTAACAAACTATTCCTATTTCTTTTCATCTCGACCTTTTAACCTAATGCTGCCAGGTAATCTCATTGTTTGCTGTCGTTTTCTTTTGTGAATTTTGTTTGCACGTAGATGGCTTCGTAAGTGCTCAGCCTCCAAGGAGCCAATTAGTAAGGCTACGGACCCACAGCCTATTTCCACTTTCTTAATGTTTTTTTTTTTCTAATATCTTTTTCTAATGCTGTTAATATCAATGGTGTTGTTATTGTTGTTGACATTATGATTATAATGTTATTTACAATAATAATAGCAATAAAAAATAAAAACCAAATCTTTCTAGAAATCAAGGAAAAGGGGTAAAAGGTGAGCTAGATAGGACTAGTAGCTGACTCCTTGGTGGTTAAGCACTTGTGGAGCCATCTATGTGTGAAGGCAATCAGTAAACAAAAAGAGACAGTCAACATGGCATGTATTCTTACTATCCTGTCAACAATAGGTTAATGAGGACAAAGCTCATATATTCTTTATATAAGTACTCGCATGTATATGCAATGGTATGTTTCACACACACACACACACATGCACATGTATACGCATACGCATATGTACACGCACATGTACATGCACACACCCACGCCCACACATGCACACACAAGCATGTTCACAGACAAATGAAAAATAAAACAACTTAAAGGCAAATCACAATTTGTTTAGATAAGAGCCCTAACCCTAATACCAAATAGGCTGTATCAGATGACTCCACTTCACCACATAATACAGTAGTTAAGAAAGAGAACATATATCGGTGACAAAGCTGATGCGAGTACAATGAAGAATGAAGGTAAATTCAGAAAGGCTTTGAAGATAATCATGCTGTTTGCTATTTGATACTGGAAATAATTGTCATACTGAATTATGTTTATCTGCAATTTCTTGGTACCAAGTACTTTTGAAAGCAGTAAGAATGATGACAAAATCTGGCATGAAGTGGTGCTGATTTTGATTTCTGAAATTACATCTTGCTCAAAAAGAACAGAAATCTGGGCTGTACACCCAAGCATGCATGTCATGTGTATATTTATTCACTGACGCACTTCTCACACACAATAATTACACTTACATGTGGTACACGAACTTTTCTTCATGTTAGATACAGAAAAAAAGAAATAATAATGGCATAACCAGCCCACAAGTTTAGTAGGATATACATTAGTCAAGACTCTAAATCAAGCCTAATGATAATCATCTTGTCCCCCTACAACAACACAGTACACAGTACGAGGCTTGGTGGTGAGGGTTGGGAGGGGAATCAACTACAGTCCTCTTGTCCCGAAAGCAGTCAACAAAGCCTTCGATAAAACAATCACAAATCAATCACGATACCCCAACAAAACCAAAGAAAATTTAAAAATCACAATGTGCACAGCAGTAAAAAATTTTAGCGACATGTCCATGTTGTCTCTGCACTTTGTTTAGTTTTTCTTATCTTTTCAATTTCACTCTGTTTCAAAAGTCTACAACTTTATCAGTTACAGAAAACTAACAATATAATATGAAAACAAAATCAAAATAATACTCTGAAGGAAAAAAAATCATATCAACTATATTACAAAAATACTAATAACATAGTGCCAGCTTCACACTACACAGGAACATATATGATCTCTAAATACAGCAATTATTTAGGAGATTTTTTTTAATTCATTTTTTTTCTTTTATCTTCGGCATTGCTCACTTGTCGCAGCTAGATAAAAAAAAAGAAAAGAAAAAAAAAAGCTATTGTGAAGAGAGACAGTAATGTTGCACCCTCTCCAGAAGCGGCCCTTAACACAGAACACAGACACCAAATACACACCCTCTCCTGGACTCTAAAATAAACTCAAATCAATGATTGACAAAAAAACAAAAAACAAAACAAAAAAATAATAATCAAAATCATCATATCAACATTTCAGACATTCGTCATGTAGTTAAAGACACTAAATTGAAAGTTAAGTCTGGAGGGACAAATGCTCAGGTGTCCTGGGCTTAATACCTGATTTGTAACATTCTTCTTTCTGTTCGTTTATACACATGTAATGAACACACATTACAGAAGTAACATCACCAGTCTGTCTCTGTGTCAGACACACCAGAGGAACACGAAGCACTCAAGCTTTGGGAAACACACTTTTCCCACTAGAATGAGCAGGATATGTCGACCTCCAACCAACGCAACAATTCCTCAAGCACTGACGCTCAACTCTATCTCTTCCCTTTGTTAAATGACTTCACTGAAGTTGACACTACTTCAAATCTCTAGCATGATCTAGCATTGGCACCAATTTTAACTATATTTATGCCCCTACTCTAGGTCATGCCAGGCTAGACTGTCGCAGCTGTGTGAGTCGTTTGAGTGCCTCTTGGAATGTGGGTCTACGTTTGCAGTTCTCGTTCCATGCCTGTGGAGGAAAAAAATAATCAGATGATACAGTGCAATACTTTTAAAGTCTCACACACCCGAATTTAAAAGCAACCATTCATAAGTTGAAATTAAATATACAGAACTTTCCTTCCTTTTGTCCCTCTCAAACATATATGTAAAGAAAAGTCTTTTTCAGCAATAACTTACATCCTTCATTAGCTGGTAAACTTCCGGAGGGCAGAGGTCAGGTGCCTCCATGCGGTAACCTTTTTCGACATGTTTCATCACATCTGCTAGTGGCTGTTGTGGGAAGAAAGGGAGACAGTGGTGAAGAAAAGATAAAATGAAAGAATTCTGATCCTGATCAACGTAAAGGAAAAATAGGATTGGCATTCTTCAAATTCTTCAAGCATTTCCACTCCTTTTCTTTTGCTCTGCAATGAAAATCTGACTTAGCAACTACTAATACATGTGCATCTTCTACCATACATGGAGTGAAAATATGTTACCTATACTGAAAGTACTATATATATTTCTTGTTAATGAACCTTTTAAAACCAGGTGACATGACTATCATTATCATGGAGGAGAAAAAATGCCTTGCCACAAGTGAAGAAAGCTTTTAAATGGTGATTAGACTCAGTGGGTATTTAAGAGGACTCTTGCATGGTAAGTACCATCCACGAGCCATGACTGAAAGAGTGCCGGCTCCAGGGAGGATGATATTTCCATGCTCAGGACCCTATTCCTGGCCACAGTGACCAGCAGTGCAGGGTGTATAACAGAAAATTGAACATCACAAAAATCTTAAATATTGACACAAATTTAAAAAGTCACTTCTTGTTATGGTTATTGCTCAAAGTTAAAGACTACCTTGATCTCGACACACTACACTCCTATGCGTGCCCTACAGCACATTTGCTGAGCTCATTAAGCCAGTCCTTTGTTTTTAGAGCTTGTCACTTACATTCTCAAAGCTTTTAACAATTATTTTGTTTTGTAAAGAATTAAACAGTTCCTACATTTTAACGGCAACCATAGGGCCATTTCATTGCATCAACTCATGATTGTTTGGCCCACATATTGTATACTAAAGTAAATGTGGCCTCTCTGAGGAAATGAGTTTGTCAGCCCTGACATCGAGAGATGATATGAAGTCTGTACAAGAAAAAGACTATTACCATCTCCATACAGCATATCTAATGAAAAATACAGACCTTGGAAAATGGCAAAAAGGAAAAAATATACAGAAAAAGATATAGTAACTTGGTAAAGGGGAGGCAAGGGGTCTTTTACCCGCACAAGTTTGTGTGAGTCCCGCTTCCAAGTGATACGCCCAGGAGAGTTGCCAATCAAGTAGGATTTTGGACCGTATGAAGGCAGCAACGCACCCAGATATAATGGATAATAGAAAATGATAATAATAATAATAAATAAATATATAATAATCAGAGAACGTAAACCTGAAAATACTTACAATTCGAGGGTAAGGAACTCTACCAAAAGAGTAAATCTCCCACAGAAGAATTCCGAAAGACCACATATCAGATTTGTTTGAAAATTTCTGAAAGGAAAAACAAATGATTCACAAACAATATTCACCAAAGTTGGTAATTTTAACCAAATTAATGATGTTAAATTCACAGCCCAACACACTATTTTTAAATTCTGATGAAAAAAAATAAAAATACAAAATTTACCTCACTGTTATCATTATCATCACAATATCCATGATTACCACTACAACTGAAAACACCTTCTATGAATACACACCATATATTTATATAGGTGATTACTCACAAAAAACATAATCTCTTAAAACTCGTAATTCTATCATTTCCTATATGGCTCTCTTACTTAAAATTCCTTAAAGCATACTTATCTACTTTTGTTTTTTATCAACTTAATGTGAGAGAGAGAGAGAGAGAGAGAGAGAGAGAGAGAGAGAGAGAGAGAGAGAGAGAGAGAGAGAGAGAGAGAGAGAGAGAGAGAGAGAGAGAGAGAGAGAGAGAGAGAGAGAGAGAGAGAGAGAGAGAGAGAGAGAGAGAGAGAGAGAGAGAGAGAGAGAGAGAGAGAGAGAGAGAGAGAGAGAGAGAGAGAGAGAGAGAGAGAGAGAGAGAGAGAGAGAGAGAGAGAGAGAGAGAGAGAGAGAGAGAGAGAGAGAAGAGAGAGAGAGAGAGAGAGAGAGAGAGAGAGAGAAGAGAGAGAGAGAGAAAAGAGAGAGAGAGAGAGAGAGAGAGAGAGAAGAGAGAGAGAGAGAGAGAAATAGAAAAAGAGAGAGAGAGAGAGAATAGAAAAGAGAGCAAGAAATAGAAAAGAGAGAGAGAAATAGAAAGAGAGAAGAGAAAAAAAAGAAAGAAAGAGAGAAAGAAAAAAAAAAAAAGAGATAGAGAGCTAGCTAGCTTACACTCTGTCTGAGAGCCTCAGGTGCTGTCCACTTGATGGGGAACTTTCCGCCGTCCAGCTTAAGTTTCATTTCCTGGGCCAGTCCAAAGTCGCAAACCTTGGCCACACCTTCTTCGCTGATAAGCACATTACGGGCAGCCAGGTCACGATGGACTACCTTCTGGGACTCCAAGTAAGCCATACCACTACATGTGTCGCTGCAGGAAGGGAAGGCTTTATTTGTAGTGTGCTTCTATCACAAAATTTTTCTTTAAAGAATGGTTATTCTATTGTAGTTACACGTGTTTCACAATACACTTATAAATCAACTTCTTTAACTCTTTTTGGTCTGGAACCTTAAAATGTTGGATTTTCATATTTCCTTCTACACTCATTGGAAAACTTGATTTTGATACAATCATCTATAGCAATTTACTGGGAAATACATTAGAAGCAGGTATAAACACATCCCTCCAAATATGAAAGAATGGATTGAAAAGCATTGAGTTGAACATTATTTGCAGCTCCAGCGACAGTATATGGCTCTCCTAGATATAAAGACTTCACCCAGAAGCCTGAACCCTATCAACAAACTCACTTACATATGCCAAGACAATCACAAAATAGATATTCATCAGACACAAGCAGAAAAGTCATCTAAAACACTATGTAAAATCAAATATAAACTAAATAAATAAATAGAACATGAAAAATACATCACAATGAATTAATACGTAATACTTGACATTTACCATGCGAAATTGATCTGATCTCTTTTGGAAACGTGAAACCTGCCCCTGGAACGCAGGTAATCCACGAGGGATCCTTTGCTCATGAATTCTGTCACCAGCAGGATGCAAGAGTCCTCAAACACCAGTCCTAAGAGGTTCACCAGGTTGTTGTGCTTCAGACTCCTGCAGAAAATATCAAAGGTTAACTATCAAGGAAACATTGCCAAGAAAAATAAAAGCCCTTTTTGTTGGTCTGACAGATAATGCGCAAGATCTTTTCTTGGAATATTGGTGTGAATAATTGCCAAAATAATGGGACAAAAATTGACAACAATAACCATAATTTTCATTAAATTGAAATTGATAACAACAGAAAAACTAATAATTACACAAGATAAACAATAATTCTTAAACAATAATCAAAAAGATTATCAACTTTCATAATCACAAACGGAAACTCAACTTCCACTGCCTCCAACTTACGTCATAAGGGAGGCCTCTTCTAAGATGCCCTGCGCCGTTCTGCTACTGTCCTTCAGTCTCTTCACAGCCACCTTCTGACCTTGCCACTCTCCCAGGAGGACATCACCAAATTCACCCTTGCCTATGGAGTCTAAAAGCTGGAAAGGGAGATTTTAGAGATGAGAATGATAATAGGAAAAAGACAATCTAACTCATCAAATATTTTGAACTAATACAATTCCTTTCACAAGGTTTTAAAATCGAGCTTAGATCTGGCATTAATGACGAAGATGAACCGTGAAACAACATCATTCTCTTACCTTTAGTTCCTGTCTGTTTATGGACCAGCCAGCAGCCTTAAAGGCCTTCTCTGGATCCACCGCGTATTCCCGTCTGCCTTGCTTGGGGACTGAGCGCTTTAGTTGCGTGCAAAGGCCATCGGCATCTTGTTCATAGTGCTGTTAAGGAGAGATAGGAATATGAATAAACCTTGCATAAAGAAAGGTGGCAGACCTACAAAGGAGGTAACCTTACTAAAGCTTCTTAAAAGAGCAAATCTCTATCAAGCTCATTATCTATGAAACAAGGTATCACACAGACAGTGAAAAAAATTACACATAAAAAAAAAAAAAAAAAAAAGACAGTTCACTATGAAAACTGACATCTGATGATCTAACAACCAATGTCTTGTGAACTATATTCTATAAAGCTTAAGCAATAGCTTCATTTTCTATGTTCTCAGTACATTACAGAAATAATCTAAAAAGACAAAATATTACAATTTTCTTTCAACCATTTCGATATCAAAAAGCCCTGACCCTATATACTCTAAAGCCCATCTTTTTCTATATCATAAAAAATTATATACATGTGTGTGTGTGTCTGTGTGTGTATGTGTGTGTATATGCATGCGTGTGTGCGCGTGCGTAGTGTGTGAGTGTGTGTGTGTGAGCGCAGGTGTGTGTGCACACGCGTGGTGTGTGAGTACGTGTGTGTGCGTGTGTGTATAGGAAAATCTAATATGAGAAGTGAAGAACTCAAATTCCGTACCTCAACCAGTTTAGTGAGATGGTCGAAGAATTCCTCCTCATCGATAGTCAATTTGTTGTCCTTATATATTACTCTATAGTGCTCAACCTGAAAATTAGAATTTGTATTAACAATTGCAGATAAAAAAGTGTCTTTTATGTAACTGATTGTGAAATGCACAAACTGTTTTCATTGTTCTTCTTTTATACATTCAATGGATTCTATCTTTCCTTTATACTATCGGTTCCACAAGTAGGGAGCAAGGCCCTTGAGTAATCTTTTTGCAATATATAGGAGGCCATCGCAGTGCAGGTTATGAGTGGAAAGGGGATGCAGATGATAGAAACGTTAAGAGAATATAAGTGCTACAACTTTACTTTTAGCGAAGATTTTATGTACTCTTTCAAGTGTCTCTTTCCGCAATATTATCTACTCTTGAAATGTGTATCTTTTGGGGGGATCCTATCATTAATGTATCATACTCAAAGAATAGAGAAATAATAACATTAAAATTTTTCTACTGCAAATATTTGTTTTAAAACTGTCTGAAAAAGAGGAAATGCCCATAAAATGTTTGAGAACCATTACCTCACACAGACCAAAAGATAGACACACACACACACACACACACACACACTCACACTCACACTCACACTCACACACACACACACACACACACACACACACACACACACACACACACACACACACACACACACACACACACACACACACACACACACACACACACACACACACACACACAAACACACAAACACACAACACACAAACACACAAACACACACACACACTCACTCACTCACTCACTCACTCACTCACTCACTCACTCACTCACTCACTCACTCACTCACTCACTCACTCACTCACTCACTCACTCACTCACTCACTCACTCACTCACTCTATCTCTCTCATGTACAAATGTGTGTACATACAATGGTAATTCTGATGATAATGATCAAAATAAATAAATCATATAAATACAAATAATAACAATAATAAAAGTACATGACTACATTGCATATAAAGATGTATCCCTTTTTATAATAACATTTCCACATAAAAGGCAAAAACCCGCCAAATAAAAAAGTTCTTCAAACTTTATAATAGTCATTATTGACTTTTTTTCTACTTTTTAAATTACATTTTCTTATATACTTTAATCTCAACAAAAGCTTTTGTCACAATAGAAAACGTTGGAAATATAAAAAGTTTCAAGTAAAATATATTTACATCATGAAATTCTAAGTGTAAAAGAAATTTCATATAAACAATTAATAAAAAACTCAAGCATGGAAAGTTTTTAATTGGTGTTCCATTTACCTGATTACAATACTATTTCATTCTGAATAATAGGAGGAAAGTCAGGAAACAGAATGAGAAGAAAAAAAAAGGGATATGAAAGAAGAAGGAGTGAGGAGGAGGAGGAGGAGGAGGAGGAGGAGGAGGAGGAGGAGGAGGAGGAGGAGGAGGAGGAGGAGGAGGAGGAGGAGGAGGAGGAAGAGGAAGAGGGGAAGAGGAGGAGGAATAGAAGAGGAGGAGGAGGAGAAAATGGAAGAGGAGGAAAAACAGGAGGGGAAGGAAGAGGAGGAGGAGGAGGGGGAGCAGCAGCAGCAGCAAGAGGAGGAGGAGGAGAAAAGGAGGAGAGGAGGAGGAGGAGGAGCAAGAGAGGAGGGAGGAGGAGGAGGAGAAAGAGGAAGAAGAGAAGGAAAAACAGGAGGGGAAGGAAGGAGAGGTGGAGGAGGAAGAGAGGGAGGAAGAAGAAGAGGAAGAAGTAGAAGTAGAAGAAGAAGAAAAGAAGAAGAAGAAGAAGAAGAAGAAGAAGAAGAAGTAAAAGAAATTAAAAAAAGATGAAAAAATGGGAAAAAAGAAAAAAAAAGAAAAGGAAAACAGGAGGAAACTGAAAGAAATAAGAAAAGAAAGAATAAAAGGAGAAAAAAAATATGAAAGACATGGTAGTATTAGTAGTAGTGGTGATAGTGATGGTGATGATAATAATGATATGATATAATAATACAACAACAACAACAACAACAACAAACAACAATAATAATAATAATAATAATAATATAATAATAATGATAATAATAATGATAATAATAACATAATAATAACAATAATAATAATAATATATAATAATAATAATAGTAAAATAATAATAAAATAATAATAATAATAATAATAATAATAATAATAATAATAATAATAATAATAATAATAATAATAATAATAATAATAATAATGATAATAATAATAATAATAGTAAAATAATAATAAAATAATAATAATAATAATAATAATAGTTAAATAATATCAATATATATATCATAATAATACTGATACTACTACTACTACTACTACTACTACTACTACTAATAATAAATAATAATAATCATAAAATGATAATAATATTAATAATAATAACAACAATAACAAAATAATATAATAATAATAATAATAATAATAATAATAATAATAATAATAATATATAATAATAAAAATGATAATAATAATAATATAATAATAATAATTATAATAATAATGTTATCCTAATAACAATAATAATAATGTTATCCTAATAATAATAATATCAATAATTATAATTATTATCATGATCTTTATCATTATTATCATAAAATAAATAAAACAAAATAAAATCAAAATCAAAATAATAACCAAAATAATAATAATAATAATAATAATAATAATAATAATAATAATAATAATAATAATAATAATAAAATAATAATAAATAATAATAAACAATAATAATGATGATAATAATTATAAGAATAATATAAATGATAATTATTCTATCTATAATAAAATAACAACAACAACAACAACAACAACAACAACAACAACAACAACAACAACAACAATAATAATAATAATATAATATAATAATAATAATATCAACAATAATAATATAATAATAATAATAATAATAATAATAATAATAATAATAATAATAATAATAATAATAATAATAATAACAACAACAACAACAACATTAACAATGATCATAATACAAATAACAATAACAACAACAGCACCAACACCAAACAACCAAAGCCTTCCGTACCGGCCGGGACGTGGGCGACCCTCCCCCACCCTCCCGCCCACGCCCTCGCGCCGTTCCCGCCCTCGCGCCGTTCACACCCTCACACCCTCCCACCGCCCTATCCCCACGCCCACCACCCACCCACCCCGCCCTCCCCACCCACCCACCGCCCTCCCTCCCTCGCACCGTTCCCGCCCACCCGCCGTTCCCGCCCTCCCGCCCGCCCACGCGCCGTTCCCGCCCACCTTATGCTCGAAGCAGACGCAGAGGGTGTAGTCGCCCGGGAAGTTGGTGGACTCCCGCACCAGGAAGAGGCCGTCCTCGCGCGGGGTCAGCAGGTTCTCGGCCTCCTCGCGGCTGATCTTGCCGTGGAACCATCTGGAGGGAGGGAGGGAGAGAGGGTCAGGGACGGGGACATCATGAGGAAGTCTGTTATTTGATTTGTTATTTTATCTTTTATTTACGTATTTATCATTCTTTTTAACTTTTTTTTTTACCATGGAATTATCTAGAACGTTGAGAGGGGGACTCGAGAAATGTCATATAATTTATTTGAGGGTGAATTTGCCGTTGAGGATCTGTTGTAAATCACAATAGGTCCTTTTTAGCTAAGGGGGCTTCTTGAAACGGGGAGGCAGACAAGAAGAAAGGATAGCGTTATTCAAAAACAAAAACAAAACAAAAAACAATCCCTACTATTTCTATACTATTTCTTTAAAAAATGCATACTATTTCTAAAAAAAATGCATACTATTTCTATATTAAAAAAAATTATTTCTACTATTTCTAAAAAAAATGCTATACTATTTCTAAAAAAATGCATACTATTTCTATACTATTTCTAACAAAAAAAAAAATCCCTACTCTTTCTATACTATTCCTAACCCTGCCAGAGAAATTAAATAATCATCTCCCGAGAAAAAAACAAACCAGAAAAACAATGCCAACTCACGCCATAGTATTGAGCTTGACCTCCTTCCGGCATTCCGTGACGTACGAGGTGGGTATCATGCCCTCCATGCCTTCGCGATTCCTGGCCTTGACCCAGTTGACGTCGTTGGTGGCTCGCACGATGGT